ATACCCGTAGGTATCTACTAAATTGCAATGTCTATTTGACAAATATCATATACGATGTTTTCAAATGTCAATAGGTTGCGTTAGTAGTACGCTCGCGTTTATTTCCGTATTTCAGGGGCCTATTCGGCGATATTTTTAAGGAAATGAAAGTATTGTGGTTATGGCACTGAATGAAATATCTGGGGAAATGAAGACTAGAACATTCAGTTGAAAAATTCAAATTAACCAAGAGTATATTATAGTAGAGCTGGATATGAGAATGTGTACGATGTGATGTCTCCATTATCCTTCAAGGGATAGATGTTAGAGAAATATTGAAATATAGAAAAAATTTGAATTTTTCAAATGAATGTTCTAGTGTTCATTTCCTTAAATATTTCATTCAGTGTCATAAGCACAAAAATTTCATTTTCTGATATATATATATATATATATATATATATATATATATATATATATATATATACATATATAAATATATATATAAATATAAAAGTAATATATATATATATATATATATATATATATATATATATATATTATATATATATATATATATATATATATATATATATATATATATATATATATATAAAAGGGTTTACACAGATACATTTATAAAAATAGAAAAAAGAAACTTACGGTATAGACATGCACTTGTAACAGCCTTTTACATGTGTTTTCAGCTATTGGCTCTCTTCAGAATGGAGCAGTTCAAGTTTCAGTTTTTCGAACTTGAAAGTCAATTGAAAGACAAAATTCGCCGTAAAGGAATTGACCTCTTTATGGCTTGAAATGAATGTCTCTGACGGGTTCTGGAGACTGAATCAATTATCCGCCAATGGGGTGATATTTATACCTTCCGCAAATTTTGACCGACAATTCAAATAATTCAAAAAGGTTTACACAAGTACATTTATAAAAATAAAAATAAAAACTTACGGCATAGACCTGCACTTGTAATAGCTGTTTACATATGTTTCGAGCTATTGGCTCTCTTCAGACGGCACAGTTCAAGTTTCAGTTGTTCGAACTTGAAAGTTGATTGAAATAAAAAATTCTACTTGAAGGAATCGATCTCTTTGTGGAATGAAATGAATGTCTCTGACGGGTTCTGGAGACTGAATAAATTATCCGCCAATGGGGCGATATTTATACCTTCCGGAAATTTGGACCGATTGATTCGAAATTTTGATACCTTCTATAGAAGCGGTTAGTTATATTTTGTTATGATTTAACTGATCTTCGCTATAAATTAAATATAATTACTCTACAAAAAAAGAACAGAGTCTGATATCTATTTTCTGCTCCAGCTGGTGTTATTCCTCTCATCTGAGGAATAACATTGTTTCGAAAGATAATTCTGCTGTTACTGCATTTTGTTATACATTCAATGTTTGTTTTCATAGTACAAATAATTAGTTCCATAGACCTTCGCTTAGAATGGCAAAAGAAGAAAATCAGATTGATATTGATTACTTAGGTGGCTGTTACTCTTCATTCAAGAAACAATTGGTGGAATATCTCCTGAAATATTATAACAGAAATCTCCAGAGTATTTGAATGAATGATTTCTCCTTAGAAGAGTAAAAGAACTCAATATTTTTTTCATACTCATATATTATTTGAAATGAGTTAATTAGCCTGGTATATGTTATAATTGTATGCAAATGGTTTTTTCGTATATAAATAAATGAATAAGTATTCGAAAAGTCAGTTTCCACGACGAATACATAATTGGCGGAGTTGGAACGACTTTGATTCCAGATGAATTGTTGAAACTAACAGCGGAGCTCTGCAATTTTTTTTGTCAATTCGCTCTTAAAACCTTTCGAAGATTGACTGATGCCATTCTGTTACAACAGCGGCGGCCTTACCCATTGCGAGACTCCGGGCGGAGGTCTTTTCGAGGCCCTTTGTTCTGCTGAAAAGTACCTATGTGATGCAAAAGTTAGTCTGTTTGTTTGGTAGGTATTCGTTATGTTTGGCGAGAAATGCTAAAGTTATACAAATAGAAATTAAATTAAATTTGAGTTTTGAAGTATATCACCTACATAAGAGGTAATAATAAATACTTTTCTAAAAAATCACTGACTAAACAATTCTTTATTCGACTATAATGATAATGCCGTAAAATTATCTCCGTATCTCATTTATCACAGAATTGATTCATCGTCTATTGAATTTATATCACTTACATTGAAAGATTCACAAAATTGAACTCCAACTAAGTTTCAGTAAAAAGATTTACTAAATATGATAAATTTTGAATATAATATGATAATACATTTCAAAATTAATTATGGAGGCTTTTACTTTTCAGCAGACGCAACCGTAACAGGTGTGGGGGCAATAATTCTCAGAACTATTTCGATAGTGGGGTATACTTCAGTTAATTTTTTTTCTAGTATGTATTTCAGCACCGAAATAATGTACGATTACATTTCATACACACGGATGAAAATATTCAGTTCTTCGTAAAATTTATGTCCATCAAATCACATGATTCTTCTACTGTCATAGATGTTTGCAAGTCGCTGCATTGCTTCAAAAGTTCACTATCACTGATTTCCTTTAATCTCTTTATATTATACATGAAACCAAATATGCTCTCATGATCATGAACTCTCTTCATTTAATTCATGAGCTTCATCTTAATCTTCATAATCAAAATTTTTTTTACGCGTCTTCTGACTTCTTTAATCTGTCTGTCAATTTAATTTTTCTCGGCGATTTCTCTTGCTGTTACAAGGGATGACTGAAAACCATTTTCTCGCGAATTATCGGCCAATTTGTCAATGCGTCTTAGTGTCATATAGTCGCATCTAAGTGCATGTTTTCAATTGACACATTTCACTCATAACATTTATCTTTGTAAGAACGTCATACCATATGACAAGTGAAACTACAAATTCCTAGGTAGTTATTTCCTCTTTTATAGAGTTGCATTCACTGACCAACTGACAATCTGTTTTATTTTCTGCTGAATCCTTTGAAGCATCAGATATATCGCTCAGTTGGTATTTAATGGCCTTCACCCGATGCTACCCTGCACTACCATCTACTTTCAGAAATAGGTTTTACCGATAAGGATTTTACATGATCATTTAAAATAGCCCACCTCTGACTTGAGCCGGCAAACAGAGTGTACAACCTTTGCAGCGTACCTCAAAAAGATTTTGCTTGGACACAAGACGATGCTGCATCTCCTAGGATGAGAATCCAGCTATAAGTCCCACAAGGTAAAAAATAAGCAAATGGATTAATTTCAATAATACGTTTTTGGACACCACTTTTTATACCTATATATACTACTGATTGAGTAGCATTGTATACTCTTGATTTTGGTTGACCACCCGAAACATATATAATGTTCTCAAAATATCCAGTGAAACTATAGTCAAGTATGTTAATTTTATTTTATTGTTTTTAACATAATGTTTCACCAAGAGATAAGTCAACCTCCGTGTCAACTTTGTTTTGATTTACCGTTATGTCATAATCTTAATAAATAATCAAGAATCAAAAGTCTTAATTAAAAAAATGTAGTTAAAATTTTGTATTTTTCAAAAATTTGCTTGACGCGAGGTCCCTGCAAGAGCGAGGTCCCGGGCGATTGCCTTGTTCGCAACCCCCTAAGGCCGCCACTGTGCACAAGATGATCTGGCTTCAAGATGAGGAGCGTAGCTTAATCTTTTCCGAAGGAAAACGATGGACAGTAAAGGCTATTTGTAATTTCAAAAATAAATGTTTCTCAACTAAATGAAAGGTATCCATATAGTACGAGAGCTAGCAACGTCGGAAAAACAAGCATTTCCTGTACAGGCAACCACTACCGCCATCCAGATCGCGCGTATGACGTCCGGTAGAGTGAGAGAAAGAGCATATCTAAAAACTGGCCTACCTTAAATTCTTTCTCAAAACGTTCTAGCTCTTAGACTAATAGTTCCTTTATATTACGTCTTCAATTTTCAAACAACCGATTTCAAAGTTATACGTATAACCTTTATAGTTCAAATATTTTTTTCCATATTTACGAAATGAATATCTTTGTTTGTTCTTTTTCATAGATGTCTGTCGCACAATTTCGATCAGATATTGATGACACACTCTATTTCGAAAAATTTTGAAACTTGAAACCTCAGAATTTTCTCTATATTTGAACATTTTAGTACTATCAGTTTGTGTATTTCGGTTATGTATTTTTTCACCTTCAATACACTAGGCATGTTTCTGTTTTCCAAGATTTGCGGTTGTAATATGCTAACCTCTAGAGGAAAATACAACATACTGAAATATTATTGTTCTTGAATACGTAAAAACTTGTACTTGAATACAGTATTCAAGTATAAATAAATGATTGATTTATAGATCATACGTTGTTGAGCACTGGCGTTTTCATATTGCAAATTACTTTTGGATGGCTTTTGTGTCGTTTTTGTGAGTTTATTGAATTATGTCAGATTATTCCCGAAAAAGAACCAAATTGCGTTCGAAATACAGAATTGCTGACTATTAGTCGTTTGAATTAAGTTGTGACCGCCTTTTTCCGATAACCCAAAAATATTTTTGAAAGTTTCAAAAGACAGTTTACGCCCTGTTGCTCTACTAACTAAGCTACCGAGGTCTACTACTTCGCGATGCAATTCCTACTATATCTAATTACTCTTTAGAGATCTGGTAGAGCAACAGGGCGTAAACCTGGGAGACCTGGGTTGGTATCCCAGTCGAGATTGAAAACATTTGTGGTGTAATTTCGATTCCAAATTTAAATATTCTCTTCATATACAATATGTCCGTACGTGCATGGTTAGCTCGAATAATATTCACTTCAATTTGATCTCATGTTCATTAACGCAAAAATTCAATAATACATCTGGGAGGATGGGAAGGTGTTTACTCACGTTCGTGCAGTTTGAAGACGACAACCCGTGCGTCGATGACTGTCTTGCGAACAAAAGAGTAATTAGATATAGTCGGAATTGTATTGCGAAGTAGTAGACCTCGGAGCTTAGTTGGTAGAGCAACATGGCGTAAACCTGAGAGACCTGGGTTCGTATCCCAGTCGAGGTTGAAAACATTTGTGGTGTAATTTCGATTCCAAATTCAAATATTTCTTCATATACTATAAATATATATATATATAGATATATATATATATATATATATATATATATATATATATATATATATATATATATATATATATATATATATATATATATATATATATATATATATATATATATATATATATATATATATATATATATATATATATATATATATGACGTGTTATCAATAGAATGAATTTCACACGAAAATATTTCTTTGCCACCATTTTGGCTCAATACGCCCTTTGGAAATTAAATGTCTAGCCTGGTTACTTCTCAGGTGTTAACTATGTCTCTAAGTGTTAATTAAGTTGTAAATATGAAATCAGTTATTATTTAATCATAAATAAATATTACAGGTAGCAGAGGAGGCGATTGTAACCCCCTAATCCTCCTCTCTCATCTACGCCCCTGGCCTATAACCAATGAATTCCTCAATCTGTATTGTGGAAATTGTTGTGAACTATCTCTGCATCGTATAAAGAATTAGATGAAATACAGTTGATCTGAAAATGAACGTGTTCTAATATGAAGTCAAATTAGTTGAAAAGTAAGACATAACTTCCGACCTGAAATTAGTATACGATCAGCATTATGATAATGCTAAAATAGATTTTAGAAGAATTCTAGTATATATTATGAGAAACAATTGATATTGGTCGTATAAAAACATCATATCGACAGCCAATTGAATGGCAAATCTTTGATCTGTAACCCGCAATATCAGTTTCACGTCCGTAGATTAGAGAAAATGCGAAATGAATTCTTATGCATTCGAGTATACCAAGAGCATAGCGAATAATTTATTCAGATATTTGGTTAATAATTCGAAATTCTAACTGAGGAGAATTCTATAAAAAAAAAGATCAACTCATTTTGTTCTGAATAATCAATTGTTTTCCAATGATATTGGACATTTTTGAGTGAGATACAAAAGTTACGAGATTCCAATATGTTTACTGTCCTTTCAATTTCAGCGACAGCTACAAAATAAATTTGCAATATCATCGCATTCTAGCTTGAAAGGTCTCTGAGGAAGTGATTGCTCTGTAGATATTGATAACATTTTTTTTACATATTCACATCTTATATTCATAAATATAAATGTGAGATTGTGAATTCCTCGAAATATCTCAGTTTTGTTTGATGAACAGTTTTTCTCATTCGGAGAGAATTCTTTCGAGTCAAGGTATGTGCTCCGAAGTAGCAATGAAAGATTTCAAAAATTGCTATCAGTTATGTGAGGAGGAGAATTGTAAACTCTTTTTATGGTAGATATACATAAAGGAATAAAATATTATGGTTTTCAATTAATTAAAGGTGATATAATGATGTGATATATTATGAATCTAACGTGTGAGTTTCTTGTGTGTGGGTTTCTTCTTATTTTGCATTTTGCGTAACGCTTTTCCAGTGGTATTGATAACTTTCCTTCATGAATAAAAAAAATTGAAAATGTACAACTCACCCTTATCATTTTATCCTACTGATTAGTATATGTAGGTAATCCATTTGGCTGTAAATGTCCTATTTGCTGTGTTGAATTTGGAATTAACTCAGTTAATGAATTGAGTTTACTCACTTATTCTCAATCACGATAAGTTTCTGTAGTATTAATTCAAAAATACGAATCTCAAATACTGATAACTATTTCGACTCGTACAACCAAGTTTAGTTGTTCGAAACGTTTCAGTTCGAAACCTAGTTTACCTGCTTCATCAAGTAGATCGTGAACGAAACAATGATAACTGTAATTCTATAATATAGTGGATATTGGATTACACACAGATCATATTGTCTTTGAATTAACATTCCTCACCACAACGCTAACCAGAGATGCTCATTTATTTCTGAAAAGCAGGAAATGTGTCTACATTATTTGAGCTTATTATCCGGTGAGTATACAATTTTGACGTTGCCGTTTATCATTTCCTCAATGATACATTTCTTACATTATACCAGTAAAAAGAATGGTGTTAAACTAGGATACTAATTCCCCACGTGATAATCACAAAATAATGGTTCAATATACAAGACACGTAAAAAGTTTATCCGATCCATCTCGGGGATGAACAATGAAGATAATTTTTATTTTGTGTGAAATAAAAGCGTTCTATTAAGATGAAATTGGTTCTAAGTTTTCTTGGTTTGTTCTCTGATATTCTATGATTGGCGAATCTAACTATTCATATTATTCACATTTTCCGGATAATGGAAAACAGAGAGGAACATAAGGGAAACATAAAAACTTTGAGAAAAAAGTAATTGGATATCGAATGGAAACATGGTAATACTTCCAAAAAATTTTACGACATAAACATCAAAAAACATTTCAGAATATTTTCGAAAGTGGAAAGTCGACAATTTAAATTGATATTTCGAAACATCCATATATTTTATAAAAATGGTTTGGCATAAATATAGGTCACGCTAACGGAAGTGACTTACGTTTATGAGATATACGTTTATTTGATTTTTCTCATTACCCTTCTTCAAATATATGTATCTGAGTTTCAGTGTTTCCGGTTTTGTAGAGTTCGATGCAACTGTTTCGTTTGGCGATGCATTGGGTGAGGAGTTATTTATATGAGCACACAAAAACAATCGCAGTTATATAGAGTATGAATGTCAAGAAATAGGCTATAATCATCCGTATATTTATAAAGCTCCTTCTACAATAGAAGCATGATGTAATTGTCAAAAAAATATCTACTCAGAGAACATTGTAATGTGCTTTACTAAGATCTAAACTTGAATACGGATCAATAGACTGGAATCCTGGTTATCAGTTACATATTGATCAACTGATCAAGTCTGTCTATTCATCGAAAGTTCCTTATACTTTTGAGCTTCAGAATTGATGGAATGTACCCACCTATAGTTATACAACATGAAACACTTGCAAGTCTACAAAATTCGAAAAGTCTTCTTGCATAAAATAATCAAAAATATAGTGAAATGTCAGGAATTATTGCGAAAGCTCAGCTTTATTGTTCCAAGAGTTTATTCTAGAAGCAAATTTACGTTCAACCTTCCAGCAGATAGATTGAATGTTCTCAAATTTTTCCATTGCACAAGATGTGTGAACAGTGTAATATTTTGGAGCCAAGGTGGATATTTTCAGAACTGTTCTGTTACTGATAGAAAAGCAAGGTTTTTTATATGCATAATATCTGCTAGAACAATCATTTATTTGTATTCACGTACAGGATTCATATTATCGCATATAAGTTCTTGTATGTTTGTATATGTGTTAATATGTGAATGTATAAGTTTGGTCAGCATTTAAGTTTTTTTATTCCTCCAGTTGTTTTTCATTTCATCAAATTTTGAAGTTCAAAAGATTGAACTTTTGTACTACAAATTTTGTTTTTAGTATTTGTTGTCTTTCCTGTTTTGTAATTAAGACCTCCCTTGTAAAACAGTGTATGTTGAATAATTAAATAAAATCAATAAAAATCTTATGCAACACATATTTGCACGTTATTTCCTTAAACCGTAATCTTAAAAATGTGCACAGCGTCTTTGTTAATTGAATCTCCATTCTAGCGCCCATGATCATTCGAGCCGCCAAGATACAGTTAGTCGAGTACGTATAAATGATTTGAATTCAAGAAATTGTAGGTGTTCTTCATCAAGCTACGACGGTCAATATCAGAAATGGATGATGTATAACTGGTACAGAGAAGCGCCAATATCTTCCGCGTTGTCAGAACGAAGAACGGTAATGTACGTAATAGTTTCCATCAACAAAACCGCCCACTATAGTATATTGATCTGGAAGTAGTGATTATTCTTCACAGTGTGTAGGTGCTCAACACTATCTAGTAAGAGGTGAAAAAGGAGGATTATTTTGTATTTTATGAACTACAACTGTTCTTGAAGTTATCGTTTCAATATCTCAGAGGAATGCCATTCTTCGTTCTGATCTCATCAAGGCTCATGTCGATGAGTATATATATATATATATATATATATATATATATATATATATATATATATATATATATATATATATATATATATATATATATATATATATATATACATAATTCATTGCATTTCAAGTTTTTCTGTGTAAACTTGGAATCAAAATGACACCTCAAAAAAGTTCAATCTCGACCGGGATATGAACCTAGCTCTCTTAGGTTTACGCCCTGTTGCTCTACTAATTAAGCTACCGAGATCTACACCTCGCGATGCAATTTCGACTATAGCTTTTTCAAGCTTTCGTCGACGCTTGAAAGCTTGAATGGCGACAACCCGAGCGTCGACGACTAGCTTGCGAACAAGAGAGTAATTAAATATAGTCAAAATTACATCGCAAAGTGTAGACCTCGGTAGCTTAGTTGGTAGAGCACCAGGGCGCAAACCTGAGAGACCTGGGTTCGTATCCCAGTCAAGGTTTTGTGGTGTAATTATGGTTCCAAATTTACAAATAAATATTTCTTCATATACAATATGATCCGTACGTGCGTGGTTAGCGCGAATAATATTTACTTTACTATACATATATATATATATATATATATATATATATATATATATATATATATATATATATATATATATATATATATATATATATATATTGAAGTGAATATTATTCGTGCTTACCATACACGTACGGACATATTGTATATGAAGAAATATTTTAAATTTGGAATCGAAATTACACCACAAAAGTTTTCAACCTCGACTGGGATACGAACCCAGGTCTCTCAGGTTTACGCCCTGTTGCTCTACCAACTAAGCTACCGAGGTCTACTACTTCGCGATGCAATTCCGACTATATCTAATTACTCTTTTGTTCGCAAGCCAGTCATCGACGCACGGGTTGTCGTCTTCAAACTGCACGAACGTGAGTAAACACTTTCCCATCCTCCCAGATGTATTATTGAATTTTTTCGTTAATGAACATGGGATTAAATTGAAGTGAATATTATTCGTGCTTACCATA